CCTTTAGAAAGGGAGACTTCCCAGATTTATACTAAGTCAGATATGAACTCGAACAATAGCTCGAGCTCAACTGTAGACTCAATTTAACTAACTCCTTAATTTTGTAGAAATTTCGGCAGCACACCCTCTAGAAAAGTGTTATTCCAAAATTTATACAAGGCTAAGTTCAGAATTTTGAGAATAACTTTAACCTCTCAAAGTCCAATTTTGTCTAACTCCTTGAATTAGTAAAAATTTGGGCAGCACTCCCTCTAGAAAATGAGATTTTTCAGATTTATACTAATCCATATATGAAAAAGACAAGCTGAACTCTGGCAAGTCAAAAGTTGATTAACTTCTTGGATTTGTAGAAATTTCGGTAGCGCTTCCCGTAGGAAAAGTAGCTTGCCAAGATTTATACAAAGCCAAGAATAAGAAAAGATCTCAGAAAATGCAAGAATTGACCTAAGTAAAAAAAACGTTATTACAGAAAATGCAGGAATCAACACTTACTCCTATGGCTCTAGCACGTGGCGAGCAACTACAGCAACTACCCATAGTAATGAAACCCAAACAAAACTAGTCATCCCATCCAGTCACATGCAAATCAAACCACGAACGTAAGTACTATCACCCTCCCAAGTTCATTCCATATAAATAGTTCGTGAATCTTCAAGTTCTTGAATCCTTATACCCATCTTACATAAGACATAGAGATGGACCATTCGCCATGGAAACAATGCCCAACTTGTCTTTATGATATACACGAACAGGTTGCACAACTACTTCTTTCTTCTTTTGGGCGGATGACTAGGTCATTCACCATGGAAACAATGCCTAGTCACCCTGAGCTGTTTAATATCTAAAGATTTTAATATTTATCTGATTTTGATAGAAAGAAGAGACAAATATGGGCAGGGGACTGAATGATTCACAGTAGAAACGATGTTCAGCTTGCCCCAAACTATTTCCATTTATACTCTGCATTTTCCCTTCTTTCTTCTTAATGATATGGCTTAACGCTGGACCATTCACAGTAGAAACAATGCCCAGCTGCCAGTTCACATGCAAATATACATAAAGTACTTTCCTTTATACTTAGTTTAATTTATGTGCGTGGTTTTCAGGCTAAGCCATTCACCATGGAAACAATGCTTAGCCTTAGACAAAAAATCCTCCCTCAGAATAAAACAAGAATTTAAACCCCTTTCAATCAGGCAAAACCCTCAGAGTTAACTAGAGTAGCCAGACCATTCACAGTAGAAACAACGCCTGGTTCCCTAGAAAACAATAAAATAAACATAGCAACCAGACCATTCACAGTAGAAACAATGTTTGGTCCTTCAGAAAACAGTCAAATAAACATAGCCCTGAGCYATTCACAGTAGAAACAATGCTCAGGCTTTGGTTGACCCTGTCAATCACAAACAGTCTGCCTTCCTCCCACCTTCCCCCAATTTATCCCTTTGTCTGCTTTCAGTCGGAATAAAGAAGGAACTTGAACTTCACTCTCACACATTCCTTCCTTCTGATCTGATTGGGTCCTGAAGAGAAAACAATAATCATAGGGATAAACTCACGCATACATCAGCCATATTGTAGGGGGATAAACAAACATTGGTGGTAGTAGGTTGTACAAGTGGAAATGGTTTACCTGACGATTCCCTGCCTCCAGAACTCCTCTTGAGTTCCGGCAGAGCTCCCGCAATCGGTGGGTGGACTCCCCACAGAGTCTTGACGCGGACCTACGGGTTGCAATCCCGCCTGCCGCCTTCCTCTCGTAACCAACAGACTAGACTTAGAGTTAGAAAGATAGAAGTAGAAAGATGCGAGACCCTCAGATCCCAGAATGATGCTCTCAGTCTCGCAAGAAAGGGCCTTGTAATCTTCAACTCCTGAGGGCCCCGCAATGGCAGCCAATGTGGCAGCTTGGTCGATTCAACAGCCAATCGTCAAAATTCATTCTTTGCCGACCTCTTGAATCACAGCCCTAACCTCCTTCGCCACTATTCTACTGAGCGGCAGCCGCAACCACCTTTCCCTAAGTCCAGCTGCCGTCGTACAGCAGATCGCAACAGTCAGCCGCGGCCGCAGGGGTACTCAATGGTATGCATTAGTCAACAGGGGCAGCCGTTGTGCGCGATCCTTAGTCGCAGCAGCAACGCTCAGCAGTGATCAACAGCAAAAGGTGACCATGCCTGTTCAGTTCACAACAACAACCAGTGCGTAATAGCGGCTAACAACGATTAATAGTGCATGGCATGCAGCAGCAGACCGCGCGCCGTACACAGTAGCATATGCGCTAAGTGGTGCGTCCGGGCACGAACTGTTGCTGCTGCCAACAGCCGCTGTAGGCTGAGGGCAGGATACCACTGTACTAGCCGTATTACGRGAAAACTCARAAAAAAMTACCCTATGGAGCACGTTGAGAACTCAGCATGCCTAGCTGAGGCCCGGTGTTTGCACTATGAGACTGTGTTGGCCAGTCCGTACATGGTCGCAACCCAGTAACA